ACCCTGTACATTTACGAATAAAATCGCGTCGATCGACACACCGGAATTTCACCGAAACTATGCGAGTTATCGACATCCTGTATTCGCTGGTTCGTACAGTATCGAAGGGTGTATATGTTAAACTAAATCACCAAATTAAATTTGATCCATAAATGAGACTCGTTGAGAAAAATAATTTGATTAAAATAGCTCGTAGTAAAATTGTACGAATAAAATTAGCCAAGAATGAATTTGTTTTCGATATTTCGTATTATGGAAATAAGATGCTGATTTTAGTAATATCTGACACTTTCTCATTCTAGTTGCCGCTAGGTCACCACGGGGGGATTCTGTGAAACTCGAGGAACAGTATTTTCTTCGCGACAGGTTTTATTCGCGTCTCGCGTGTTTCATACTCTACCGGTTTCGACGAAAATGTCTTTTTTTATTTATTGACGGTGCACGATACTGGAAAACAAACACACGGATATCTACATACGCGTGCACCGGTCTATTTTTACGTAAATATTGGCGGTTCTCGCTGTTTATTTATTGGAAATCGACTTCTGATACGTGCTGTGCATTTTCACGCTTCGAATGGAACTGGGTTTTAATAATAGTTACGTTTGAGTTTGTTTATGTTTGTTTGAGACTGTGGCGTGGAAATTTTTGGCAAATATTAATTAATAGCTTCGTATTAAAATATTCTGAATTAAAATGAGCAATTTAAAGGGTGAAAATAATTATTTTCGAAGCCTAAAAATAAAAATTAGCTTTGTATTAAAATATTCTGAATTAAAATGAACAATTTGAAGGGTGAAAATAATCACTTTCGAATTCATTGAAAACAAATTTAACAAAAAAAGTAGATCGTTTGGGGTATAAAAGAAAATATTAATTAGCTTCGTATTAAAATATTCTGAATTAAAATGGACGATCCAAAGGGTGAAAATAATTATTTTCGAAGCCTAAAAATAAAAATTAGCTTCGTATTAAAATATTCTGAATTAAAATGAGCAATTTAAAGGGTGAAAATAATTATTTTCGAAGCCTAAAAATAAAAATTAGCTTCGTATTGAAATGAATTAATAATTAATTAATTCTGAATTAAAATGAATGTTTTAAAGGGTGAAAATAATTATTTTGAAAGCTCAAAAATAAATTTAATCGTTCCAAGTGATTAAAACAAATTAACAAGGACCTTCCACACCAAACAAAATTAACAAATTTCTATCTTCGAGATCGCCATCGATTGATCGGCGCGAAGAAAGCGAATTTTAGCGTGGTCGACCGCCAGCGGAAAGAAAAGATCGTAAAATTATGCAACGACTTCTCTAATTTATACCCGTTCGATGGTTACACTATGTATGTCGAGTACTAAATTACTTTGCATAGTTTTATCGGCAGTTTACGTTTCACTTGCACCGGAATCGCGGATTTCGACGATGTTATAACACGTCAAACGTGTCTGATCGATCATCGAAACGAAATAGTAACGCAATCTTCCTTCCTTTGCGTCACGTAGAAATTTCTTGTTTAACACTAGATTGCCCAAGAAAGTCATTTTGACTGCTTTTTAATTTCAATTAGAAAAACAATTATGTATATAATGACACAATTTCTTAGAATTTTGTTACTCTTTGTACAACATATAAATGAGTTTATTAATAATTGTAGTTGCCTCTATATATACAGGGTGTTCGGCCACCTCTAGCAAAAATTTTAATGAGCGATAATAGAGGCCAAAATAAGACCAAAATCAAGAATACCAATTTGTTGATGGAAGCTTCGTTAAAAAGTTATTAACAATTAAATTCAAAAATTTCAAATCGTTCTGGAAAAATTATTTTCGGTTGCGGGGGTCAACTGCAATCATTTCTGGTGAGTACACATACCTCCGAAATCCTATCTACTTTCGAGAAAAAAAATCGAGTAGGTGGTGAAATTTTTCGGCGAAAAAAAATTTTTCAAATCGTTCTAAAAAAATTATTTTCGGTTGCGGGGATCAATTACAATCATTTTTTATCATTACACATACCTCCGAAATCGTACGCACTTTCGAGAAAAAAATTCCTTACTGAAAATCCAATTAGGTGCCTAAATTTTTCAACGGAGAAAAAAAATTGCAAATCGTTGTGGAAAAATTATTTTCGGTTGCGGGGGTCAATTACAATCAGTTTTTGGCATTAGACATACCCACGAAATCCTGCCCACTTTCGAGAAAAAAAATAGAGAAGGGTGAAATTATTCGAGAGAATTAAAAAATTGCAAATCGTTGTGAAAAAATTATTTTCGGTTGTAGGGTTCAATTACAGTCATTTTTGGTGAATAGACATACCCCCGAAATCCTGCGCATTTTCGAGAAAAAAATTCAATAAAAGCGGCACTTTAAACGTTAATAACTTTTTAACGAAGCTTCCATCAACAAATTGGTATTCTTGATTTTCGTCTTATTTTGGCCTCTACTATCGCTCATTAAAATTTTTGCTAGAGGTGGCCGAACACCCTGTATAAATTATTCTTGACAGGAAAATTTAAGAAAACTCTACTGGAAAATATTCTTAGTCAATTTTCTCTGTCTCTGAATATCCTGAATATTTGTTCAAATAGCCTAACAAATCACTAATATCAATGACATTACTCTATTTGTAATTATAAATTGTTCTTGGCAGGAAAATTTGAGAAAACTCTACTGGAAAATATTTAATTAATTCATTGACAATTTTCTCTGGCTAGAAATATCCTGAATGTTTGTTCAAATAGCCTAAAATATTCCTAATATCAAAGACATTATTCTATTTGCATGAATTAATTTTTCTTGACAATTTGAGAAAAGGAAAATTTAAGAAAATTCTACTGGAAAATATTTAATTAATGCATTGACAACATTCTTTACCTAGAAATAGCCTCAAAGTTTGTTCAACTAGCTTAATAATTTCCTAATATCAATGACATTATTCTATTTGCATATATAAATTATTCTTGACAGGAAAATTTGAGAAAACTCTACTGGAAAATATTCTTAGTCAATTTACTCTGTCTCTGAATATCCTGAATATTTGTTCAAATAGCCTAACAAATCACTAATATCAATGACATTACTCTATTTGTAATTATAAATTGTTCTTGGCAGGAAAATTTGAGAAAACTCTACTGGAAAATATTTAATTAATGCATTGACAATTTTCTCTGTCTCTGAATATCCTGAATATTTGTTCAAATAGCCTAACAAATCACTAATATCAATGACATTACTCTATTTGTAATTATAAATTGTTCTTGACAGGAAAATTTGAGAAAATTTTACTGGAAAATATTTAATTGAAGCATTGACAATTTTCTCTGCCTGGAAATATCCTAAATATTTGCTCAAAGAGGTTAACAAATTCCTAATAACAATGAAATTATTCTATTTTCAATTATAAATTTTTCTTGACAGGAAAATTTGAGAAAACTCTACTGGAAAATATTTAATTAAATCATTGACAATTTTCTCTTCTTACAAATAGCCTCAGCATTTGATCAAATAGCCTAACAAATCCCTAATATCAATGAAATTATTCTATTTACAACAATTAATTTTTCTTGACAGGAAAATTTGAGAAAACTCTACTGAAAATTATTCAATTATTACGTTGAGTGTCAATTTTTTTTGTCTAGGATATCTTCTACGTCTTTGTTCAAATAACACAATAAATTCCTAATATAATATTAATATTTCTTGACAGAATAATTTATGAAAAACTCTACAGGTGTCCGAATATTTTCGTAACCGATTGTAACAGCTTGCAATAATTCCACACAGACACGAATCTCACTTTCGGACTTTCTCAATCTGGCCAGGGCAGGATTACGTAATGTAACGAGTCTTTTATTGTTTATTGTAATTCAAGGTACCGGTGGCTCGAATTCGCGAGTCTGTACAACTGAGTCACGATGAAAGAATAAAATTCAGTGATTTTTAAATGAATAATACGAAAATTAAAAATAGAATTAGCAATGCAAAACTGTTGCTTAGATAATCAAAACAATAATTTCTACAGTCAACTATGGAAAAATAAAATTCCGCGATTTTAAAATCAATAATAAAAAAATTAAAAAATCGTATTAGCAATCAGCAATGCAAAAATGTTGCTTCGATAATGAAAACAATAATTTCTACAGTCAACTATGAAAAAATAAAATTCAGTGATTTCTAAATCAACATTAGGAAAATAAAAAATGGAATTAGCAATCAGCAATGCAAAACTGTTGCTCAGGAATCATCGTATAGCGTTACATTGACACAGGTTTAACAATATACATATAGGGTGTCTCATTCGAACGGATCCAGTCGGTTATCTTCGAAATGATCGACGACAGCAAATAAAAAAATTTGCTTTGTCTGTGAAATGAATTTGTTTCTCGTTAAGCTCGGTGTTTGAATACATCGCTGTCACCTTGGTGTAAAATTTCACTCGTTTCATCGCAGGTCCCTGATAAGCGGAAATTTTATACGGATATAATTTTACAGGAAAAAGTGTCAATGAAGTGGAATATTTATTTTATCAATTTCGTACTCGAAAAACCAGGCAATATTTGATCGAAATATCTGCTGAAATAAATAACAAAACATTCGATTTATATACAGGGTGTCCAATAATTGGCGATGCAAACACCAAAATGATGATTTTACGTGAAAAAGTGAATCGAAAATACCAGAAAAAAAAAAGTTTCACTCGAAACTTCGTTTCGAAGAAACCCAAATTTGAAAATTATTTAAAAATTATAATATTCAAAATTCATGAATTATTGATATGTTTCAGGATGAGAATTTTTCAGGAAACTTTTTAAAAATCCTCACTTATGCAGATTACTCTGTGAAAATTATAAAAAATTATGTTTACTTCACGAAGACACTTTTTACATATATTTTTCTTCCTCTTAAAAAGCCCATTTATGGGATAGAAAGTAGCATAAATCATGTAACTAATTTTATAAAAGTACTCACATTAAATTTATAATTATTGTTTATTTTCCAGGCAAAGTTTCAGCAATTTTTATAGGAATTCTAACGCTCATAATTGGCATTATCTTAAGTAGCATACCTTGGGCGGACTATATTATATTAAAGGTATGTACAATCATTCATTTCCTCCAAATTAAATGAAATCGAATTTTCCACAAAAAATTAAAATTCTATTTCGACTTATTTTTTTCACGCAGAATCGCCAGTAGAATTAAATCGATTCACTGATTTTGTAAAAATGTACACTCGTGAATAGTAAAAGAAAAATCAAATTTTATCACATTTATTTAATCACATTTTATCAAATTTATTTCATCAAATTTCATCAAATTTTATCAAATTTATTTCATCAAATTTTATCAAATTTATTTAACCAAATTTTATCAAATTTTATCAAATTTATTTAATCAAATTTTATCAAATATATTTAATCAAATTTTAACACATATATTTCATCAAATTTTATCAAATTTTATCAAATATATTTCATCAAATTTTATCAAATTTATTTCATCAAATTTTATGAAATATATTTAATCAAATTTTGTCAAATTTATTTAATCAAATTTTATCAAATTTATTTCATCAAATTTTATGAAATATATTTAATCAAATTTTATCAAATTTATTTAATCAAATTTTAACAAATTTATTTCATCAAATTTAATTAATCAAATTTTAACAAATATATTTAATCGAATTTTATCAAATTTTATCAAATAAATTTGTTAAAATTTGATGAAATAAATTTGATAAAATTTGATGAAATATATTTGTTAAAATTTGATTAAATATATTTGATAAAATTTGATAAAATTTGATGAAATAAATTTGATAAAATTTGATTAAATATATTTGATAAAATTTGATGAAATATATTTGATAAAATTTGATTAAATAAATTTGATAAAATTTGATGAAATAAATTTGATAAAATTTGATGAAATAAATTTGATAAAATTTGATGAAATAAATTTGATATAATTTGATGAAATATATTTGTTAAAATTTTATCAAATATATTTAATCAAATTTTACCAAATTTTATCAAATTTTGTAAGCTGATTGTTATATTCATTTTCAGCAACTACGACTATGGAATGGCTCTCTTTCTTTCCAATACTGGCAGAAACCTGGAGTAGTTCGACTGACCAAGGTGTACATATTCAACGTGACAAACACCGAAAATTTCCTGCAATTCAACGAAAAACCAAAACTCCAAGAAGTTGGCCCCTTCGTTTACAGGTACGTAAAAATAATTTATTTCTCAAATAAAAAACTACATCTGACTTTTCTATTTCACAGAGAGGACATGGAAAAGGTCAATATCGTTTTCCACAACAACGGTACTGTAAGTTATCAACACAAGAAAATATTAAACTTTGTACCAGAGTTGTCGAAGGACAAAGACATGAAACTAATGGTACCAAACATTCCGTTGCTAGTAAGTCAATATTTCATAATATAAACAAATAATTCAGTAGATAACTCAGTCATCTACTATTATACAATGGCGGGTTAAAATAAAAATTGAAAAAATATCAGTCGATAAGGGTCTTTCACGAGTAAGTGCTCCCAGGCAAAATTTTACAGTTTATTTTTTTGTAAAAAATGATATAGCAAAATTACGGAATGAGTGGATCGATAAAAAAAAAACAATGGAAAATTGCTGTATGGTAAGAACGAAATGATAGCACGAATACAAAGTGATAAAAATATATTTCATTTAACACTAATTAGTTAATCATTCGGTGATTTATTTCTATTTATTATTTTCGCTAATAACAAAATGCACGCCATTAATACTTTCTAAACAAGGTAGAATCGAGTTTTATTTGTAATTATTGTGTTTTAAAAGAAAACATTTTGTTTTTTTTTTTGCGTAGCATTTAGATTTTCAGTGTAGAGATTAGAAATCGAACGAGGTTTAGACCAATTTTCACGGAGGATTTATTTCGGCAATCTCGTGGACACCACTGTACTAATATTAAGATGCTTTGCGTAACGTTTATTCAATTGTGTTTGTAAATGTTTCCAGATAAATATATTAACCGATTACTACGAGAAACTTACTTCGCATTTTTCAGACTGTATCGACACAGAGCAAGAATTTACCACGATTTATTACTCTAGGATTATCCATGTTTTTGAGTGGAATGCAGATGAGTCCGTTTGTGCCTGTGACTGCTCAAGAGTTAGTTTTCGGATACGATGATCCGTTGGTTAGCATCGCTCACAGATTCTTTCCCAAAACTAGGCGACCAATGAGTCAAATGGGACTTCTTCTCGGAGTGAGTGATATTTTATGGAAATACTAATCAATAGACTGTGGATGTTTGTCCATTTAGAAGAAATTTCAACTCTCAAAAAAGTATAAAATCAACTTGATATACAAAAATATAGAAAATTCTTTAAAGAGTCTTCGTGTGTGAAATGTGTTTTTTTTTTAGGATTTTTTGAGGAATTTTTTGTGGATAAACTATAAGACTTTTTAAATTCAAATTTGCAGGGTTTATTTATATATATTTGAGAGATATTTCAAAATTTTTTGAGTGGAATAAAGTTAAAATTGAGGGCACTGTATATTTTCAAAGATAGACGATTTTAAGATGCACTTTTATGAAGTGCATTTTTTTAGACTTTATTGGAGAATTTTTTGTGAATAAACTATAAGACCTTCTGCAATCAAATTTAGAGTGTGTATTTATACATATTTCAGTGATATTTCAAAATTTTTTGAGTGAAATAAAGTTAAAATTGAGGGCACTGTATATTTTCAAAGATAGACGATTTTAAGATGCACTTTTATGAAGTGCATTTTTTTAGACTTTATTGGAGAATTTTTTGTGAATAAACTATAAGACCTTCTGCAATCAAATTTAGAGTGTGTATTTATACATATTTCAGTGATATTTCAAAATTTTTTGAGTGAAATAAAGTTAAAATTGAGGGCACTGTATATTTTCAAAGATAGACGATTTTAAGATGCACTTTTATGAAGTGCATTTTTTTAGACTTTATTGGGGAATTTTTTGTGGATAAACTATGAGACCTCTTAAAATCAAATTTACAGGGTTTATTTATATATATTTAGGCAATATTTCAAAATTTTTTGAACGAAATAAAGTTAAAATTGATGGCACTGTATATTTTCAAACATAGCTGATTTTAAGATGCACTTTTATGAAGTGCATTTTTTTAGACTTTCTTGGAGAATTTTTTGTGAATAAACTATGAAACCTTTTGCAACCAAATTTACAGAGTTTAATTATAGATATTGGAGTGATACTTTCAAATTTTTTGGGCCAAAAAAAGCTAAAATTGAGGGCACTGTATATTTTCAAACATAGACGATTTTGAAATGCACTAGTATAAAGTGCATTTTTTTAGACGTTCTTGGAGAATTTTTTGTGGATAAACTATAAGACCTTTTGAAGTCAAATTTACAGGGTTTATTTATGAATATTGAAGTGATACTTTCAAATTTTTTGGGCCAAAAGAAGTTAAAATTGATGCCACTGTATATTTTCAAACGTAGTTGATTTTAAAATGCACTAATATGAAATGCATTATTGTAGACTTTCTTGGAGAATTTTTGGTGGATAAACTATAAGACCTTTTAAAATCAAATTTGCAGGGATCATTTATATATAGTTCAATGATATTTTAAAATTTTTTGGGCTCAAGAAAGTAACAATTGGCGACACTGTATATTCTCAAACATTGTCAATCTTAAAATGCATTTCATACTAGTGTATTTTAGACTTTATTAGAGAATTTTTTGTGGATAAACTATGAGACTTTTTCCAGTCAAATTTACAGAATTTATTTATATATATTTAAGTAATATTTCAAAATTTTTTAAGCTTAATAAAATTAAAATTGATGGCACTGTATATTTTCAAAGATAGTCGATTTTAAAAAAGGTCCATAAATTCAGCCATTCCATTTGTTTGAAAAAAATACCTAAAAGATTCTTACCTATAACTATAGCTATTATTGAAGCAAAAGAAAGAAGTCGATAATTCAAAAGATGGCAACACTTTAAAGTTAGATTAACTAAAATAATTATTATATATTTAGGGTTTTAGACAATTGCAAAGCTTCTATTTCATTAATTCTATTAATAAAAATATGAATTTGCAACAAATATCCACAGTCTATTTATTAGTTGTAGGTTGTGAAATTAAATTGAAATATTTTTCTTTCGAAGAACCTCGCAAGGATAAAATTTATTCCATAAACAAAAGAATAATTTCAACTTTCGAATAAATTTTTGCAAACTATTGGGAAAAATGACATTCATTTTAAAATTTTAAATTCACAAAATATGTATCGAATTATCTTTAAGTTGATCGACGAAGGTGATAACAATTTTAATTACAGAGAAATGGTACATTAAACGAAGTGTCTACTATTTTTACGGGTCACACAGACATGAAGGAGTTCGGATTAATAAATCGATTGAATGGATTGGATCGTTTGCCCTATTGGTCGAATGCACCTTGCAATTCTATTCGTGCTTCGGAAGGTAAATATGATCGATTAATATAAAATATTACCAGGACACTCCGAGATATCTTTAATTATTTAACGTTAAATCGATTAACTTCATCAAACTCAATAACTGGAAATTTATTATAAATATAAAAAAATTAGGATTCAATTAAATTCTCTGAAATTGAAATTAAAAAAAATTCAAAAAGGTGGAGTTAATCGATTTGGCTCTAAATTGATTGTACAATGAATGAAATAATTTCCATTCTATTTAAAACTCTATTTTTCACTGTGAAATTCATATGCAAGCTACATATTAACAAAATATAATATAAAATTGATTAATTGTAGGATCCTTTTTCCCACCTCGTGAGAAAACTGGCGCAGATATTATTCATCTCTGGGACAAAGACATTTGCCGCACCTTGCCTCTACAATATCGCGGGCCCACCGAAAAATCAGGAATAAAAGCAGACTATTACACGCCCGCTGACACGGTTTTTGGACAACCCAATGAAACCACTCCGGAAAACGAATGCTTCTGCGAAGATGAGGTGTCAACGTGTTCCTCGTACGGACTCCAAAATATCAGTCCTTGCCAATACAGTACGTATAATAAACCGAAATAATACAATTATTTATAGGATGTTAGGTCAACCCTAAAAAAAATTTTAATGAGAGATTCTAGAGCCCAAAATAAGACGAAAATCAAGAATAGCAATTTTTTAATTGAGGCTCCGTTAAAAAGTTATTAACGTTTAAAGCTAAAGTGCGCGCGCACGCATTGTCGTTCTACAGGCGGAACTTTAAACGTTAATAACTTCTTAACGGAGCCTCAATTAAAAAATTACTATTCTTGATTTTCGACTTATTTTGGTCCCTAGAATCTCTCATTAAAATTTTTCCCAGGTATGACTACTACCTAAATACTAAATTTCCATTTACCTCAAATTTCAAGATCTGTTAACTCGACTAAATTACTAGGTGTATTTTAAATGGACACCGTAAATACATTTTTACGATTATTTTTTAATTTTCAGGCGCGCCAGTTTACCTCTCCTTCCCACATTTCTACAAAGCAGATCCCAAATTACTGGACGCGGTCGAGGGATTAAAACCGGACAAAGAACTGCATGGAACGTACTTCAAAATTCAATCGGTAATTTTCTAATAATCCTCGAAAAATAACACAAGGTCATCCCTGGGAAAAATTTTAATGGTCGATTCTAGGGGCCAAAATAAGACGAAAATCAAGAATACCAATTTGTTAATTTACGAGTGAGACATGCGCGCGCAGAGCTGTTCACACTTCAACTTCAAACGTTAATAACTTCTTAAAGAAGCCTCAATCAAAAAATTGTTATTCTTCATTTTCGTCTTATTTTGGCCTCCAGAATCCCCCACAGTAGTGCCCACTTAAGTGACTGTGACCGCGACTGGTTCCAAGCGTGGTCATTTAAGTGGGCACTACTGTGGGGGATTCTAGGAGCCAAAATAAGACGAAAATCAAGAATACCAATTTGTTAATTTAGGCTTCCTTAAAAAGTTATTAACGTCTAAAGTTTCGAGTCTTACGAGTGAGACATGCGCGCGCAACTGTTCACAGACCAACTTTAAACGTTAATAACTTCTCAAAAAAGCCTCAATCAAAAAATTGTTATTCTTCATTTTCGTCTTATTTTGGCCCCCAGAATCCCCCATTAAATTTTTTTATTTTTTAAAGAAACTTGGCGTGCCTCTGGAGGGAAAAGTCCGACTGCAATTGAACTTAAAAATCGAACACCAGCCTCACATTGGCGTCGTGTCAAATTTTCCGGACGCTGTTTTTCCAATTATGTGGCTCGAAGAGGGAATCGAGGAACTGACACCCTCCATCAGAAGATGGATCTATCTAGCGACAACGTTCAGCGATATCGCAGTGCCCTGTACCTCGTACGGTTTCATTCTAGTCGGTATAATAATCATAATCACTGTCTCCGCGAAGGTCTACAACAACGCGGTGTTCACACACGAGGCGATCGAATTAGGCAAACGAACAATCAGAAGAGGCTCGACGTTGTTAGTGAATGGACAGCACAAATTGTTAACGACACGGGACCCGTACGTTTTGCTGAGCAACAGCGACACCGAGAAAACGGAGAGGATAGGGGTATAGAGCCCCCGTTAGTAACAATTTTTTCGGGATAATCTCCAAAAAATACGTTTTAAGTATGTACATACAATGCGTTCTGCGGCGTTGAAACATAAGTGTTCAATCGTTTAACACTTGTACACCAAAGTTTTCCTTCCAATTACCTGAAGAGAACAAGAGGACGACGAGTATCAGTTGCAACAGCACGCTATTTGGCAAACCGATCTTTTTCTCTGCGAACTGCGTTCGATGTTACGTAATTTTTGTCTGTATCTGTGATTTCACCTTCTTTTTTTTTTTGTAATTTATATCGCCAGTAAACAATTGCGGTACAAAATCTATCGTGCTTGAACGAATCCAACGTTCACTCGTAAATGAGATCGATATTTGAAAATTCTAATCTAGAACTACGTAATTGGGATCATCGAATATTGTGGTTGAAAATCACTGTTGCTAACATTTTTTAATAACGAGAGGTTTGCGTGAAAACGTATGTAAGATCATACGTGATATTTAACACTCTGTGACCAGTAACGTCCATCCGATGGAAGAGTGGAATATTAAACGAAATAAGAGTAATTAGTTAATACAATTCTGTAGAAACTATTATAAAGAATATACTTTCTTTACTGGAACTGTCTTATTTATTGGGCTCCTACGAATCATGAATTTATTTTTAAGAAACGCTATTGTATGGGAAAGTATGTTTGGCGAAATTTTTTTAATTTTGAAAGTAAGTAATACATTCAAGCACGGTATGATTTCTAGATGTTTAGAAAGGTGCGTGCATTTTGTGCTCCTGTATATTTTAAGTAATTCGTTAGCATGTAAATGGAACTATTATTGAAAATAAAATTTAATAATAAAACTTCAAGTACTTTATAGCTTAAAATTCCAAACAGTACAACGCAGAATATTATGAAAAATGAAATATGTTTTTTTCAGGTATGAAATGTACTTTGAAGTACAGGAAGAAAGTATGTTCCACTTGTAATTAAAACAAACCGAAAGTGGAACATTTTTCACATCGCAACACTGATTTATAAAATAGAAAATAGAAAAATCTCGCGAGAGCAGCCGCTTAGGGCGCTTTATCAAACGCAACTCTGATTTATTAATTAAATAATACTCAAAAACAATCGCGAGATGCGTCATTTTACGTAAAAATAGAGAACTTCCCGGGAGCAGCCACGAAGGGCGCTTAATTATTCGTGATATTAACAAAATCGTGTGCATCTATGTTGAGAAATACGCAACACTACTTTTAATAACAAACCTGAGCCATTTGAGGCTTTGTGAACTTAGCTGCATCGTGATCCTGAAGTAGCAGTGGCCAGCGTCAAATTTTGGGCATTAAATCGCAACACTAATTAATGAAAAACGCGATAAATCAAGATCGCAACGCTAATTTATAATGGAAAAATTACAAACGCGATTTGTAAGAATAAAAGCAACCGCGAATGGTGATTATACGCAACGCTACCCTGAAAAGTAAACGCGAAAAATAGTAATTCGCAACGCTAAGAGCAAACCGATCGATGCATTCGCGACACTATTTTTAAATAACAATAAAAGTAATCGCGTATGGAATTCGCAACACTACCCTGAAAAGGATACGCGAAAAATAGGAATTCGAAACTCTACAAGCAAACGCGATTATTGCATATTTTTCGCAACTCTATTTTTAATGAAAATGTTATATTTATGGCTCGCAACGCTAATGAAAATCGCGTATTGCCCAAAAATACTGGCTCAGGTGCTGGTGTCCTCAGTGGTGGATGTAAATACACATGCATAAAATAAACTAACTACTTCAAACTACGATAGAGTGGCACATGTGGGATGAAGCTAGACATTTTAAATAACGCAACGCTAAGGGGGCAAACAACGCGATAAATCAGAATCGCAACGCTAATTTATAATAGAAAAATTCCAAAACGCGACTTGCAACAACAAAAGCAATCACGAATGGTAATTGTTCGCAACGCTACCCTGAAAAGCAAACGCGAAAAATAGTGATACGCGACTCTAATAGCAATCGCGTTTGCTAATAATTCGCAACGCTATTTTTAAAGCAAACTCCCGGTTCCTAGGTTTGCATAAAGACAATCGCGAATCGTGTTTTTGGTCGCAACACTTACATATCAACGCGATAAATATTTATTCGCAACTCTACGAGCAAGCGCGAACATTGTATATTATTCGCAACTCTAACTTTAATCAGGGGTTAATTGTACGTGTGAATGCACACGTACTGGCCACAAAATGAACTAACTACTACTATTACTACAGTTAGGGTAGAATTTGGGCATTGATAATATCGCAACGTTAAAGAAAAAATCGCACGATTAATCAAGAACGCAACGCTAATTTATGATATGAAAATTGCAAACGCGGTTAATATACATTATATAAAACAGTTATAAAGCTATCGCGAATTGTATTATTCGCAACTCTACCCTGAAAAAGAAACGCGAATAGTAACAATTCGCAACACTAAAATCAAACGCGATTATTGAATATTCGCAACTCTATATTTGACTGAAAAAGCTATTAACACGCTGACTGCCACGTTTAAACAAATTATAGTATGAAAAGTATAGATATATTAACATATTCAGTGATGTTACTTTATAATTATATTACAAATATTAGAGTTCGATTGTTCAAAGTATTATTAAAGAGTCAATGTAAGATTGGAATGGCAGTAAACATGTTAATATTAATATATAAACCGCGAGTTGAACTGATGGCTGGCATGTATGGTGCAATCATGTACAAAAGTACATGCATACGTGAGCTAGTAAAAGAAACAAATTAACTACAACTACAGGCAAGTACAGTGACAAAGTAGTAACATTAATGACTTTCCATCCTCATTCAAAGATGAAGATCAAGAGCCATTCGTTGCAGCCCACTCTTGAAACAGTTTGTCAGGGCCTCTTCGACTCCATCGAGTCTTTTCTTTCTTCGGCGGTCCTGCCAAAGCCTGAAACTTAATACTAGGCTCGAGATCCCGTGCAATACGCCGTCTTCCAACAATTCAAGGAATTGTTATCGGACCACGTGTGGAGAAACTCGAGCGGGACGAGCGTTTTGAGGGGGACTAACCACGACCGCGAACGCGAAGAGCGACTTTGAAGTCGCAGCGATTTCAAGAGTGGAAAGTAACACCAAAACAAACGGTAAAAACAGTATGAATTGGCTAACTTTCCAACTCTCGAAATCGTAACTACAGGAACAGGACTGCCACGCGAAAACATGCCCACCCGAGTGATTTAATGTGGCCGTCCTGCCCTGACCCTACCTACTTAGGTCTAAACACACACACCAGCGAATAAGTGACCTACCTACCTAACGCTGTATTTAAAAAATTGCAAAACTCATTCTCGCAAACATACACTCCACGGTTCTCATTCTCAATGTCCGGGCGCGACCTAAACTAGAGGGGACTCCCCGGGGTTCCCCCGACACCCGGACACAACCTCATTCATACTCTAAATGTACGTACCATTTCCTGAAACCGACTGACAAAGACTAGTGACCATTGCGTATTTCTATTGTATACATAAACATTCATATAGGACGTCTCAATCTATGTAATATCGTCTTCAATGAATTATATTGTATACATGTATGATTATATAAAATTGAAAAGCTAATTTATTAAGCACTTTATAATATTTCTGTCGCGAGTGCAATATCAAGAATTATTGTATAAATGGTAAATGGAAATTTAATATTGTTATTATAACTGATAGAAATCTAATGTTACAAAATTCTGTATGTAAGTTATAATTATAAAAAACTTCTGAATCGGCGCACTTCCCACAACCTAACCACACACACATATGTGGAAAGTACACCGTGCACGATACACCAGCCAATGTCAGTCGCCAATATATTATTAGAAATTGTTATAAACTAAGTCATCGTGCCCGTTGCCTTCGCTCATGCAAATAGCACCTGAGCATGTGCATGAGTTTAGGCAACGAACATGGAATAATAACCTGAAAATCCTGAGGAGGGACAGTGATTAATAAATAACAGAGACGGTACTTTTTATTTCATTTGTAGTTAGGATAAGGAGAACTTTTATTTGTGGTATTTTAAAAGGAAAAACGATACTATCAAAATATGAAAAATAAGAAAAATGTTATAATAACACAAAAATTATTGTAATTGAAATGCAATTATGTAAAAGGAGAAACTTTAATAAAGATTTTATGATAAAATAATTTACATTGAAACTTTTAAATATATAATTAAAACAAATTTATTGAATTATTAATTTAAATATTCAACTATTCCCGGTCGATTCTGCCCTCAAAGTAAATTTTTCAGAAGATGAAGCCAGAATACAATGCATTTTACTTTGAGAAGAAAATCTACCAAACGCGAAATGCCTTCTTGCACTTAAAATACATCATGTGATGTATTAATCAAGGAAACAATTGAAATTCAATAATATATATTCCATATACGACCAGTATTGTTAGAATCATCATTTTATAATGAAGGTAAAAAACAAGTAAAGAAAATAAATATGTAACATCCATATTTTAATATCTATTCAATCATATGATGATGAAAATATTTAATATATTTTCATTTATAAATATTCTTATGAAAAATTATTTGATTCTCTAAAAAGCATTTATTTATGATATTTAAAAAACCCGGAGTGCAAGAAGAGCCTAGCCTGAACTAACAAAATATAACAATAATTGTTACTACTCACGGGTATGATTTATACCCGCGGTCACTATACTTGCCAAAGATAATATCTACGTATACAACCGGTCACCCGTGTTGATACGGACCTTTCGTCCTACAACATGATTGGGGACCGGAGGAATAAAAATTGCATGCAACTCACAGTTCGCAGACTATGATGGAGAATTCCTCTGGGACGAGTCCACGACGATGATGCTGCCCAATCGAAGTCGTTGGAGAAGTCGTCCGCATGGTCCTGTTGGTCAGCAAAACGTAAGGACGAAATCCAGGAACTGTAAAGAACAAGAAAAGAAATTATTATCCATCGTAAAGATTATAGAAATTTCATAATTTAATATAATGGACTCTACGTTCAAAACTAATCACGGGTTTTTGATAATTTAAACAAAATTTAATAATATCATTTTTTTCTAAAAGTGCATAGAAAAATGTAGTGTGATACTTACGTTTTTTGGTCGTGAAGCGTCGTCCATAATTCATGTCCCGTGATGATTGACTGACTCTAATACCGGTAACGAATAATTCAAAATTTGGAAACAGAAATTGTTCAAGACTATGAGAGAATAATAAATTAACGCGACCGTAAATTCATATCGGCGAACAAATGAGTTTACTTTCGCGATTAATAAATCAAGGTGAGCACCGATGCTCTGAACAGAATTTACGAATGCGTAGCAAACACTGACTCGACCTCTGCGTGTACCTAAACAGTAAACGAAACTCTACTCGAAGCAACTGTGCTTCGAAAACCAACAAACTTATCTACGCAACAATCACCGATTCTACCGACCGCATTGCACGCGGTCATAAAAAATTCTGAAAGAACGATTGAGATTAGAAATGAAAAATAAGTAACCTCACAGACTTGTCCATTTATCGATTTAATGCTAAATTCAATACTAAATCGATGAAAAGGCAACAATGTATAAACATATTTAACAAATAAAGTTAAATGTTACCAATATTCGATTCAACATTTCTTCGATTCGAAGTTTCTA